TTTATATTGTAATCATTTTATAGTTTAAAAATCATCATTCTTCTGAGAAAACATATATATAACATGTTGACATATTGAATATTAATGTAATTAATAACAGCGCAATGGCTACTATTAGCTTCTTCGTCTTTGGAATTTCGTTGGAGAATCCAACGGAACCCCTCGGAATACTGAGCCTCTCTGCCACGTCAAGGCCGTACCCTTTAGAAGAGTACATGTTAACAAAAAATTGTAAATTTTGAAGAAATAAGTCGCGAAGTATGTATACATGTAAGTGTATATAAACCTCGTAATAGAGTCGTTATTTCGATTTATTATTTATGCTTATATGTATATCCTTAATCACATACCGGCACTTTGATGAGCATTTATTATCGCATTCATAAGATAGAGTAATGTTTGAAGAAATGCGAGATAGTGCGGAGCAGCGTGTTTCGCTACTCGCCCGTACGAATGCCGGTGAATGAATGAATAGCACGTGGCGCGCTCGTAAACACATGACATATCAGCCACGGCGCCTAAATACAACTCAAGATTGGAACATTAGCCTGGCTATGACGAAGTAGTCAACAATATTAGCAACAAAATTTAATTTCCACGTTATAACATCTTTCGACAACGGAACTTTAAATAATATAAATGTTACATTTTAAGTAACTTTTAAATGATCTGTACATTTGCTATTTCGGAATGCATTTGCTCACGTGCTGTAAGCATTGTTCTCTCTTCGATGTAATGAATAAGAAAGATATAGAATAATGCTGATAGCGTTCAAAGCAGATGCATTTTAAATATCTTGAAAATATTAAAAAATATTAAACACAATTCACACAATTCTTATTTAATATTCTTTAATAAAGCGGGGAAATTTTAAAGGATTTGATATGAGACAAGTTTTATTTCTTCACAATTCTTTTTTCCTTCGATTAACTCTTCTAATTTAAGTTATAATAATAAATCGTCGTTCATAAAAATTTATATTCAGCGATAAATAAATTTAATAATAAATTATATTACTAATATTGTGTATATTAAAAATATTCTTCAGTAGATTAGAAAATTCCAAGATACTTTTTTACTATATATTTTTACTATATACTATTTTACTATATATATTATATATTTATTTTTGACATACAAGATTTACTTAAATTTCATTTCATCTTTCTGATTTGTTTCTGTTCTTAGTTGTTCTTTTTTGTATTTGCTTCTTTGATTTTTTTGAAATAAATATACATGTTCTATAATGTAAATATTATAAATTATCTACAAGTTATAAAAGATTTAAATATTGAACGACGATAAATTATAAGAATAATCATATAACATGCAAAAATTATATGCAAAAATCTAAGTATGAGAAATTTTATAAAAATGAGAAAATATTTATCATAATTAAATATTTATTATTATTTTTGTTGTATATGTATGTTATATCTACATATGAATATGATTATGTTAATAAATATATACTAATGTTAATGTTCATCAATATCTTATTCTAGAACAAAAAAAATATGCGACATAAATAGATCCACGAATTGTGGAAGTAACACATCAGAATTGGTTTTTATCGGCAGTCGGAAAATGGAAGTGTCTACTTAACTTCAGTATGCTAAAATGGAACTTGGTGGCACTATTGTACAGGGGTTTCGACGGTACTACGAAAAAGGCCGAGATGGCCGCTCTTAGGCTTCTCTCTAGTTAGAGGAAAGGTGTCATCAAAATCTAAAGAGAAGGTTAGTTTGTCGATCAACGTGGTGTTGTTGATTACGGTGAAATAAATTCTTATGAATAAGCTAACGTGTTTAATCAAATAACATGACAGAACGATAATCTTGGGTGGATAACCCGCTTCGTTGACATTCTTCGCAGGAGGACGTGTGTAAATATATTTCTGGTATAAAACAGGTTAGATTTGTGTTTTTATGCACTTCTCCGCGAAATTTCGCGAAACAAATCATGTCATTTAACTGGACGAAAAGGAAACCAGAAACCGATACGATGAATCGAGAGAATACGCGAGGCATACTCTGTTCTGGCCGGATTGTTAAGGTAAACAAAAATGTGTGTTGAAGCCGGAGCAAATTTTTAACAGCCTATTTGTCATGATTTAGTCAACTAATTTTTGTCGTTTTTAATGTAAAAAACTCCGTTTTGCAAAAAGTTTAGAAAAAAGATTTCATTAAAATGAATTTCGTTGGAAATTAATAGCGGTACAAAATCTGTAGCATATAGAGAAATATAAGTAGTAGTATAAGATTCAGATTTATATTTATTAATTTTTATTAATAAATATGTTTATCCTTTTTTAAAATTCTATGATATATAAATTACATACTAATGCACATTTAAAAGTATATTTTTTTTATAAAAGTGAGATATGAACATAATCTTACCATTATATGGCCTATGATCTTAATAGTAAGTAAATTGATCAATTAAAGATTATTGAAAATATAAGATTCGAATTTTAAAATTATGATTGGTCAATTTATTTATTGTTTAAACTTTACTGTTCACATTTTTCTCTGTACCATTAGCTTCTGTTGCATGCTGTTTGCATTTCTGCCACTTAATTTGTTTGCCAGAAGTATTATTTAATGACAAGTTTATAATTTTATTTCTTTGAAAAAAGTTAAAAAATTTAGATCTAAGTGTTTGACTGTTGTTTTTTATAGACAAATAACATGGATATCACATCGGATTTTGCCTGCCTTAAGGTCTCGGCCTTGCAAAAGGCATCACGCATATCAGCGATTACAAAGATTGATCGTGTCACAATTGGACCCCAATCGGCAATGTATGAAGATGATTCTGATAAAATGGATAATATCGAGAACGAAAAAAATTCCTGTAACATTAAAAGTCCACAGAAAGCTGTTACTAGTCCTAAATCTAACATGGTATCCAGTACAAATGGTATTTTGTTCTCGATCAAGAAGATTCTTCTGGAGAAAGAGCTGCAAAGAAAAGAAGAAGTCATGGTAATTTGATTATTATGAAATTACATATACATTTATGACCAGAAAAGTTTTATAAACAAGATTTAATATTATTAAGTAAATATGTTTATATCAATAATATACTCTACAATAAATGTATTAATACTGAATATGCAACTTGGCATATATATTTTTATTGTCTACTTGAATTATATGAAAATGTAAAGTTTATCTAGATAATAATTTGAATTTTTTGAAAATTATCTAGCTATTAAGAGTTATTAAGAGAGATTTTAAATAATTAAAGTAGATTTTGAACAAGCAAATAATTTGAGATGAATATATAATTCTAATGAAACCCTATTAAAAATAATGATAAATATATAATTTAAAGGACAGCTATTGATTGGTTATTTTCTATTATTATATCTCTAAATGTATTGCAGAAAGAGATGAAGCGTCGTATTCAGCATATGAACGACAATGGTCGTGTTATTCAAGAGCAAATGGCAAACTCCCGTTCATTGATGGCACGCGAACGCGAACGTCGGACTGAAGAAAAGTTGGCCGAATTTCTAGCCGAACAGGAACGAATTGCAGAACAGGACGAGATCAAGAGGCGTCACGAGCAACAATTGCAAATGCAACGTGTTCAAGAGCAGAAAGAAAAGCTTGAACGAGAAGTGGAGGAATACCGAAGACGGATGAAAGAAAAGGAAGAACTGTTGAAATCTGTATTATTCCATCGAAGCCAGTTCATGGCCAAATATCATGATCTCGAAACACTATCTAAGTCCTGCAAAGATCCAGAAACATTCAGCATGGTCATTGCGACACATACCGCAAGGATAAGAGATTTGATACTACAAATTGAAGCTATCGATAAAAAGATTGTTGTAATTATCGAAAAAAATTAATTATGAAAAATTTAAAAATTAAAAATTCATGAATTGCTTATTAACTAAAAAGAGATGATCAGGAATCTTTAAAGATTTTTTTTCATTTTGCAGTTGATTATAACTGATAAATAATAGTTTTTTTGATGTCTTTTTTACAGAATGGAGAATTAGTAGCCACAGATGTAAACATTATTGAGACTGTGGTTTGCCATTTTGATGATATATTGAATGTATTTCGTTCGGAAACAGGTTTGCGAAATGTTTTATAGAAATTTACTTATCAATATTACTAATATAGATATATATTAATAATTTTATTTATATATTTTGTTGCAAATTATAGAAAAAATAAATACTCAATATGAAGCAGAATTGGTTCGTAAAGCGCAAGCTGCAAATGAGGTACAGCCAGTTGAAGAGCCAAATAGTGTTCCAATTAGTAATATAATTCCTCCTCAACAATCAGATGAGAGCAATGTGGAAAAGAAAGGAGATCAAAACTCCGATATAACAACAAATCAAGAAACAGCAGTCACATTGGTTAATACACCGCCTGTATCTGATCCTAAGCCAGAAGAAGAAGTTAAAGATTCCACGCGCAAAAATGGTGCATTAAGATTTCTAAAATTTAGTATATAGAATATATTTTATAAATGTTTTAAAATGCTTAAATTTATTATACATATTTAAATTTATTACATATATTTGCAATATTTTATTCTCTAATCTGTATTTACATTTATAATTAGAAAAAGTCAGTTAAATCTAATACATTTTGATCTTATATTTTTTTTAATATTTCTATCTAAAAGGATAATTAATTGATGTATTTGATGTATTTGATGTATTGTGATATTATAAATTTATAGATTCCTTCGAATATGTTGACAAGGAGTCATTACAGATTTACGTCAGGAGCCAACAATTCTTGCAGTTTTATAGAGAAACTTGTAAAGAGTTTTTACAATCGCCTAGTACAAAGAAATTTCGCTTCGAGTGTCAAAAGGCAATTAACATTCCTGTAAATGCTATTTCCGGCGTAAGCGAGCAACACTTAAGAGATAAATATGATAGGCTACAGAATCTTTTGATTGGAAAATTGCCTCCTAACGTTATACAACATCCACAAGGAGTGATTTTCTGCAAAAATCATCTGGCGAAAAAGATAGTTGTGCGTATGGAAAACTTAACTACAAGATATTTTGCAATTATTATGAAAGTTAATTCAAATTGTAAATTATTTTATTATCAGGTTAAAATTTTATTATTTTTAAATAAATTTTTAATCAATATTTTATGAATCTTTAGAGTCAAGGCGAGACGTTAGTATCCAGCAAGCCGGAAATGGCATTCCCTGTGGCGATGATCGTTGTAGCCCTCTGGAACGAACATCCAGACTTTGGCGAATTATTTTTGGCACATCTTCACGAGGCATGCCCGTTTACCGTGCCAATGTTTTTACCACAGCAAGAAGGACAGTCCAACGAGGATTATTACAAATCCCTCGGTTGTAAATACTCCGAAGATGGTACTGTTGAAAAACAGGATAAGTTTTTGAAAAGGATGTCAGGTTTAATAAGGCTATATGCATCGATTACTGTTACTAAACAGCGGAAAGGTGTTACCAAGACTCATCCTCATGGTCTTCAGCATGCTTGGAGATGGTTGGCAGCTGTTTTGAATATTGGTATATAGAATTAAATATAATGAAATACATAAAATTATAAGTTAAATATTACATAGAAAAGAAATATGTATTTTTAATTTTTAGAACCACGAGCTGACATTTGTGATTTATGTGCAACTTTGATATTGGACATGCTTGAGGTAGCTGGTAATGTGTTATGGACTATGTATCAAAAGCAGTTCCACAAATTATTGATATTATTAATAGAAAAATATTATCCGCGTATGCGTAATGTTGCGGACGGTGGTGGTGGTCCTCTGGTACGGTTAGAAGAATTTCTAAAGAACGCTCTGATAATTGGTACCATACGTCCTGCCGATGGAATGCTTCCGCCTCATTTCTTGTGATTTTTCATGAAATCATCCTCACAACATAGTGATTTGAACGTAAATTGAAATCTAACATGAAAGTCTTATAATCCCCTAAATAAGATATGAAAAATATGTTAACAAAAAGAAATGAAACGGAGAAAAATTAAAAGCAGAATTCGTAATTATTTCATTGTTTCATACTTTCCGATATTATCTTATAATTTAAGAGGGCTTTTTAATCACATATTATATTGCTTATCTTTATCTGATATTTATCAATTTTTCAAATTTTGATATCAATTCTTCTTTGATCTTTTATAAATTATAATTATTATATTATTTATAGCCAGAAAAATGAAGAGAACATTTTATAGAAAAAATATCTTTGAATTATTTTGAACAAGTATGACGAAAATTTTAAATCATTTCGAATATTATTTGATATTAGTTTTATCTTGGAAAAAAATATAACTTTAAGAAAAAATTTTTAAGTTTTAAAAATCTAACTCGACAATTTAAAAATAATGAAATGCCAATGTTTTTCTGAGTTATGAAAAGTTTAAAGATTTTATATCCGTTAAATTTATTGAATCTAATAAGATTTCTAAGAATTTTAAATAACGAAGCGATTTAAAGTTTTAACTTTGAAAAATATAGAGAAAAGAGGAAACCGAGTGCACAAGTCTTGCCGAATTGTTATTATTTACACTCTAAACAGTACATTATACACTTTACATTATACACTTTACAAACAAAATTTTAATAATACTTTATGCGCTATATATATATATATATTAATTATGATTTGAAATAAAATATATGTCATCGTGAAAAAATGAAATTCAGCGAGCGCGCGCACGTGTGAGCGTGAGAGAGAGAGAGAGAGATGGGAGAAGAGGTAGGAAAGACAGAATTTTTTAATTGATCGTATAAATCAAGAATAATTTTGCACATTTTATGTATTTATTGTATCTATTTAGATTTAATAAAAATTGTTATAATGAAGAAAAAAGAGAGAACGTACACATATGTATGTGTGTGTTATATATAAAATAATAAAAAAAGATAAAATATAAATAATATAAAACAATTTAATATTCAGATGAATAAAATATTTCAGTGACCACAGGTGTCTCATCAATCGGTTTGTAGTTGTCAGCAGAATTCTTGGCAAAACCTAAGATGCCCAAGCAGTTCAGTCTTTTGTGCCATTTAGAGTCGTTCTCTAGTAGGCCATCGGTAAGCATGTTGCCGTACTCTTCCGCTAAATAAGATGAAAAAGTATGTTTAAAAAAAAATGGAATGAAGAAGAATTGGAGATTACATATGCACATAATTATCTTTTTGCTTTTCCTGACATGCTTGATTTTAAGAATCTTTTCTTTTTATTTCATTACGCATATGTTTATTTTATAATTCCAATTTTTCAAATTTTCATATCAATTTTTAAAAATATTCTTTTTCATAAATCATTATATTATTTTTTATTAACCATGAAAGCGAAATCCTTCGATGTTTTTCTATCATCGATATTATCCTTCAAAAATATTTATTCTAATGCAGTTTGAAGATAATTATACCTGCTCTTGGGTGTATCATTATACGATAAGGTGGTAAAGGTCCTATGCTGGCGAAAATCTCAAGCTCTTCTGCACCGACTAGATTGTAACGATTACATGTGAGCACTGGTGCTTCTACTATTCCTGCGTCTGCTATCCCGTCGATGACCATTGATATTACATCTCTTCCATTGTTAGCATCTGCGAGGTAATTGGAACAAATAAAATAATATAAATAAATTTCGTCAATATCCAAAATTATATTGGCTTGGCCAACAGATAATATGTACAACTATAGCTATTTAATATATCTGCTTAATAATATTTCTTTTACTATTATTTTTTACTTTTATTATTTATTATAGTCATTTCATCAATATTGATACATAATTAACAAGAGGCGTAGGAATTTTATACACACACGCACACAAAATTTCTACACTTTTTGTTAGATTTATGTATTAATTTTAAAATATTGATACATAACAAAAGTCAGATAGAGAAAATACTGACCGAGTACAGTTGCAAAAAATTGGGGAGTTCTGCCTGTTGAAATTAAATAATTCCAGAACAATCCGGCAACAGAATTGTGCCTGTAGTTTTTCTTCGCAATACTCACTTTACATTCTTGCAAACTCGACATTGACTGCAATTAATAAAGATTTTATCAGTATCTCATGATCAAATCCTAAAAGAACTTATTATATCTTATAATCATCGTTTCTAATAAAATCTGAATTAATAATATATAATTCATTAATGAATTAATTATAGAACAGATAAAAACAAGAAAAATTATTAATTATTAATTTGCTTACGCGTCCGAGGCTAATACGAGGCGACGAGTGTTTTAAAACAACTACGTCGGCGTACATGTTGGTACACTTGGGCATGTTTAGAGCATGCTGGAACTCAAAAGTTACGGGTAAAAGCTTACCGATGTTCCAGTTTTCAGACGCTGGCATAATAGCTGCAAAAATAAATTAAAAGATATAATTTTTATCTTAATATTTTATTTTATTTTTTTAACAGGATGATATACTGCATTTTTTCTTCATTGTTAAACAACGATAAACTTTTTATATACTTTGAGGCAAAACGTTATCGTGAATCGTAATCAAACATTACGAAATTTGTTTGTAGATATTTAAAGATATTTAATATCTACATATATAATACATTGATTTTTCGTGAGAGACTGATATCAGATATGTAACTCAGAATTATTTAAAATAAATGTGTGTACATATATATGTATACAGATTCTAAAAGAATATAGAATTTAAAATAGAAATAGAATTATTATTTAAACTAGTTGGTTCTTTTAAAATTAAATGTATTTTGTATATGAATAATCACGATATGCGTATTGAATAATGAAATGAATGATAAAATATAATGTGGTCTGTGGCTAAAATTTTTCAAATCTAATTGCAGAAGTGAATATATTAAGAAAACATTTTGAAGATAAATGATATCTTATTGAGTTTTAAATGACTTTATGAAACTCATTGTTTTTATTTATATTCTAGCTTAAAAAAATGTTTTGTCTAAGCGTACCTATTTCAACGAGATCGCTAGGGATAGGTCGGTTATCTTTGGTTTCGTGCAACAAAACAACTGGTCGTTCCAAGATGTCCTCAATAATTTCTGCAAACGTCTCAAAGAATTTGAACGGCAAAGAGGGTGCCATACGATACGTTGCTAATACCAAAGGTTTGGCTATGAGGTCTACGCTACGTAAGGGTGGCCAGACTTTACGCAATTGAAAATGCATAAATAGCGTCTATTAAATATTCAAGATTTCAATTAATATCGATTTTATATCTCAGCTTGTAATGTTTGTTTAAAAAAATTAATTAAATTTATCTTGAGAAAGGAAAAATTAAATTTGTCAAAATAAAAATAAGAATATGGAGAAAAAATAATATAAATTATTATTGATTGAAATATCTTAAATTTGCTACAGTTTATATAAAAACTTTACTAAATGATAAATGCAGAAATAATTGACAAAAATTTCCATAATTTGATTTTGTAAGAGAGACTGATTTAAAATCTATTTAATTTAACGAATTTAAAATATAAATTTATATTTAAAAAATTTAAAATTTTAGAAAATCAAATAAATATTTAATTCTACTTTTACATATAAGATATTAAAATCTTAAAACTAACTTAAACTTTTATTTTTTATATTTATTGTAATTTATTGATTTAATTATGTCTTCAAGGATATGGTTTAAAAAGGAAACTTACGCTATTGATAACGGGTTTCTTTCTTATCCAAACAATAATGTCATTTAATTTTCTAGGACCTTCACTTTTAGCTTTTTCTGGTCCATCCTCCTCTTCGATCTCAATATCGCTGTCATTATATTCGGTATCACTATCTATATAGTAAGAACTGGCATCTGAAATTATGCTACTGGATTCAGAGTCTTCCTTAAATTTTTGTCTGAAATTTCAAAAGCCTCAGAGTTGTTAAAATTCATAACTTCAGGTACAGTTATTTGGCATTCTTTTGGAATTTCAGAAGTCTCAGGTTTGTTGGAGCTGATGACTTCGGATACTGTTTGGGTTATTTGACTTTTTTTTGAACTTTAAAAAGCTCAGATTTATTGCAGGCTTCACATATAGTCTTGTCATTTTGATAGATATACGTTTGGCTTTTTTGAAAAGCTTCTGGAGCTTCTGGATTTTTGGAGTTTTCAGATATAATCTTGGGTTCTGTTGAAGTTTCAGGAATATCGCAGAGAGCTATTGCTTTATAAATAATAGATTGAGGAGAAAATTTATGCAAATCTTTTTCGTCTGATTTATCTGTGACACCATTTCTGAAAAAAGTTTCTTCTATTACCCTATCTATCGCTTTTTCAAGTTTTTCCTTGTCTATCTTCAAACTCTTTAACCATGATATTATGGCTTCTTCCTTCAATTTTTCAAGCTTACGTTTCACTTGAATCTCTGTCACGCAGTTCTGCATTTTAAATTTTTGCATGAGTATCAGAAGCACTGCACTTATCGTTAGAATTCTGAAAATAAAAATAAATGCGAAAGGTAGCAGCAAATTTTCGTTTAGAACACGTGTCAAATCAATCGAAATGCCGTTACGAACTGTCGATTGGCGAAGATGGGTTTGAATATTATCCTTTTGTATCGTGTTTATATCGTTATATCCTTTATATATGTATGTGTTTGTATGTGTGTTTTTATCGTAAGTCGTTGGTCACCTGATGAATATATATACATACCAGAGAAGAATAAGTGCGTTTCACTTGATGCTCACAAATGATTCCTTGTTACTTATCAAGTATAGGATAAATAAATGCCACGCTACCACGTAGCTTTGTTGCATTCGTTGCTTCAGTGTCGATCTCATCTCGTGTGAGATCACGATTGGTCACAATTTTTATTTTTCTTCTTTTTCTTTTTCATACTATTCTCTTACTCTTTGTTCGCCTTTTCTGCTCTTCTTTCTCTTTTTTTCTCTTTTTCACAAATATGTTCATCTCGCTTTAAGTGTAGGAAAATGCTAAAGAGTGTAAGCAAGACACTAAACTTTTCGAACCTATTCAAACACGCATTTGTGTTCCGTATTTTTACTAATGTAAATTAAATTTGAGTACCGATCATGTAACTATTTCTTTAAAACGGAAATGTGAAAAGTGAATATTTTTTTTTATTATCTTTAATAGTAAAAATTTTCACTTTTTACGTTTTCATCCTAAGGAAAAATTACACCTATCAGTACTTAGTTCTGTATCCCTTAACAGCTTATCATTGTGCAGATAATATATGATAGAAGAGCTACGTAATGACAATATAACAATAACGATACTATCATTAAGAGTTACAAAATAGAGATCCAGAAACAGGATAATTTTTACTATTAAAGATAATGGAAAAAATTTTCACGTTTCTGTCTTAGAGAAAAAGTTACATGATCGATACCCCGCACCAAGTTGTACGAAACTTTCTATCTTGCTTTTGTCAAGTATTAGTATATTTATTTCACTTTAAATACAACGAGCGTAAAATACAGACTATAACTTTTACTTCAGTTTAATTTATTCTTTATCTTTTTCTAATTCTTTTATAACTAAAAAAGATAGAAAATAAGTTAAATCGAGACTAAAGTTAATATTGGACATAAGAGAGTTTAAGTTTGATTTCTGTTTAAAAGCATGTTTGCATAAATATATAAAAATATGGTATTATATAATTAAGCCAATAAGGAAAATTAAAAATTCGCGATAAAGACTACATTCTCGTTGTTATCTTTCCGCTTTAAATCAACTTTGTTTTTACTCATTGTTTGTCTTTCAGGCATTTTTTGTATACATTTTTATTTTGCAGTAGTTTCGAAATTTGCTTCATTCTCTTGTAATTTTCCATTGAAAATGATTCTTCGGCCATTAAAAATTGGAGATGTCAATCTCTTTCAAATCGCATCGAGTTGGAATTCCTTTCTCTGACAGTCGTTTGGCGAATTCTGCAAACGGACGAAAGTCCCACCGACCCTATTCAACGTGTTTACGGCCGATGAAGACTTCATCCGGATGCATCGCTCGCTCTTGACCGTCGTTACATCCACGTGACACGGCGACCCGACGATATCGAGTCACCCGATTTTTTCCGAGAACCTTTCACAGTTGTCCTGGGTCACAATCCGAGTCATCCAAGCTTTGTCTTCGAATGCAATCTTGAGTCGATATCGAATTTCCAATTTGATACAACCTAACTTGAAAACGATATGAATAAGTTACAAAATGACAATTGAGAGAGAGAGAGAGAGAGAGAGAGAGAGAGAGAGAGAGAGAGAGTCGAAAAACAGATTTAAAACGCATTAAGTAAACATTATAATCTTCTTATCAGAAAGAGAAATTAGAGGAAAAAGATTAATTCAGATTAATTCAGATTGAAATAGATTTAAATTAAGTTAATATGTGATTTGTATAATAATTTACATTGATAAAAAAATTAATTTATGTATAAAAATAAATTTGTATATATAAATTCAAAAGAAATTAATGTTACACGTAATTATACGAAATCTTGTATAAATTATTTCTATTCTTCTTTTCTCTGTTCTTTCTATTTGTTTCTCTTTTAATATTTGTAGCGGTGGTAAAGATTCTGCAAGCTTGGAGCGGAAAATCTCAAGGCATACGAAAAAAAATATAAACATAACAAAAAGGCTATCGCGAAAGATGTAAGACGCATTGATGATCGACTTCTCTTTGCTAAGGAATCACGTTCTCGGAGGTCTTTCAATTGGAAATGTGCGGACTATCGTGGTTCCATGGAATGCACGATGACCGCTCCGCACCACGCAGGTGTAACCCGTCAGGTGATGTCACCACGCACACTCCAGCATTCACGATCGAACAACCTTACGATTCAACGTGATTGAACGTACGAGCAGTACGAGTGTATCGCATATTTCCTTCTGAAAAGAAAGAAAATAAAAATATTAATACAATAGATAAATCTCTCTCTGCCACACATAGCGACGTTCCTATTTTTCACATTCAGTAGCATGCGAGTGTAAATATCTTCATTGAAAGGACAAGAAAAAATACGAATTGTAAATGTCAATGTAGTAAGATTATTATATGGGAAAGAATTAATATGAGCATAAATACTTAGCATAAAAGTGATGTTTATAAGCATAATTAAATGAGATCTAAATGTAAATGTGTGAAAAATGTAGATTAAATGCATCAAAATGTAAATGTAAGTGGCAGAGAACATAGATTTCAAGGGAACTGAAATTACAAAGCGAATTTTTCGTTCATTTCTTAATTCATTAATATATTGTAAAATTGTATATACACAAGCATTTTATTCTTCGATTAAGAAGAATGATCAAGAATCTCGGATCCTGCGCCAATGTGTAATAAAGATGCTTATCTGAGAATACGCGTTGCAGAAAAGTCTCGAGATTTGCGGAAAAAGTATGACTCGCACTGTTTCGCGTTTCAACTTTTTCTCGATGTATATTGGAAGCAGAAACTGATAGATTGATAAAAAAAGAAATATTAATATTAAAATTTAAAAGATGTAGTAAAACTTGAATTTAAATTTTCACAAATGGATAACTCGTTGATGATTTGGTAGACGTGATTTTAACAACAGATAAACAAAAATTTTTGCACGTTGCCAAAAAGAAAAAATAAGCATAACAACAATTTAAAGAAAATGCATGATATTTAATTATACGTACTTTTCTATATTTTCCAAAAAAAATTCTCCAAGAATAATCTCGGAATAAAAATCGCTAAGGGTAAGTCTCTCCTAGATCTTTAGAATACCTAAAATTCTTTAAACGGAGATAAACTTTTAAGTTTAAGATGTTAAGAACGATTGGACATGCTTTTATTTGATGACTAATTCAGAAATATTTTTTTTGGCACGAGGGAAAGAAGAGACTTTTAAAATATATTCTGACATATAAAAAAGGGAGTTTGACATGTAAAAAAAGGAGTGTAGGGCAGGCCAGAGCCGACGCGTCGCGTCGCATCATGTCGTCGTATATGCGTGTTATCGCGCGCGAGCCTCTCACGAATTCACGTGTTACGTAAATCCGTGCACGGTCCCGCGTGCACGCGCACAGACCAATTAACGACTGGCGTTTTTATCGCACCGTCACGGTTCAAGGCAGGAGGCAGCCGGCCGTCGCGACGGCCTCCGGCGCGCGTCTCGACGATATACATTCCGAAAAGTTCCAGGATGGACCGTCAAGTCGGTGGTCTCTCCACTTGAGCGATGGAGCAATCACGCGATAGGTTCGCATAGATCGATATGAAAAAATTTGAAGAGACATCGCGATTGAATCAGATCGATTCGGCATCGAAACTCGAGCAACACTCGAGTCGAATTGTATCGTGAAGAAATTTCAACAATAAGAAAAAAATTTAAATTAATTAATGACAACCTTACTCCGTGCTCCGTACAGGATCGGTACAGAAGAAGATGAATTGCTCGTACGATCTTGACGCGTTTTACTATCAAAGATATATAGGTGTGTAGATGAAGTGTGTTACTTAGGCGAACGTAGGAAAGGCATTCTGACTCGTGCGATGTATTTCCGTCGATGAACTCGAGTGCACGAGTCATTCTTCAAAGAGAAAAAGAGAGAGAAAGAGAGAGCACGAAAGAGAGAGGAAAAAAGAGAAAGAGAGCGAGATGGACTTTGTCCTGATCCTTCCTTAGTTACAGCAGGATATAAAATTATTCCATAATTTAATAAAGAAGCAAACATATCGCCGGAAAAATACGCAAGAGAAAACGCGCTTTCCTCTTTGCAAGCGAAAAAAAAACCAAATTCGGCCTTTTTACACAGAAAGAATGGTTTTACTGAACTATTTAAAAATTCGATTAGATTATAGATCTGGAAATAATTCTGTTAAGATATCCAAATTAAGCGGAATGTTTAAGCATGATGATAATACTGCAAAAATTTTTGATACTTTAGCAACCAATTTGAACGTCCTATATTAAATATTTTGATGCTCAAAATTATTTTCAGATCTGTATTTGATTAAAAAAGAAAACTTTAAACGATTTTCGTCAAAAATTATCATTACAATGTGATGTTACATTTAAAAAAAATTACTATATTGAAAATTAATACAATTAATACAATTGTTATTCTCATCGTTATGAAATCATCATTAATTATGCTTTAATAATTTAAAAATTAAGTTAATTGACTGTGTCAAATATGTTAAATATTTCTACAATTGTGAGACAACATCGCAAAACGTTGATCATGTTAACGTTTTTCACTCTATATATATAT